GATCCAGGTGATCGGGGTTCGATTCTCGGTCAGGGCACATGCCCTGGTTGTGGGCTGGATCTCCAGTCGGGGGCGTGCAGGAAGCAGCCGATCAATGACTCTCTCATCATTGATGTTTCTATCTCTCTATTCCTCTCCTTTCCTCTCTCCAAAATCAATAAAGATATATTTTTTAAAAAGAAGGGGAAAAAAAGAATTCGTTCATACTGTTGATGGTGCTGAAAATTCAGGTAAAATGAGTACTTTGAGATTTAATAAAACTGAGATCACTGGTGACTTCACTAAGAGCTGTTTCAGTGGAGCATGGAATGAGGACATCATTTTTTAAAAGTATGATGCTATTTTAAGTAGATTTTTTTTTCACTCTTCATTTCTAATACTTTATTGGTTTGTAGCTTTTTTTGCTTTCTAGAAAAAATGATGCAGAAAAATGAAACACTTTTATGTATATTAATTCATAAGAACTCTAGGATCCTACCTTCCTGAACACTTTTCTAAAATCTATACATAAACACCTATATCATTGTCTGTAAAATAATTATTCACAGGGTAACATAGTCTCTATTTTGCTCACAAATTAAATGATTCAAAAAATAGCAGTCACTTATTTGCATGTTAATTTTCATTCAGTGATTTTATCTGATATTGAAAAATTAAAATACACCTAGATTTTACTAACAAAAACTACTTTGATATTAAACGATTACCTAAATAGTGTGTATATATATGAAAACTGAAGTCGACTGTTCAAGGGGTCTAGCGGGAGGGTTAAGACAAGCTCCTTCACTGGGAGATGCACCACACGCAGCTCCATTTACGACGAGGACCGGCAGGAGATCCATCTACCTTAGCTGCATCTGTTTGAACAAGAATTTCCCTCGGAACTCATGAAGGGCAGTTATGCATTTCCAACCCTCGAATTAAGACAAATACATTTAAATCCCACATGTGCTATTTCTTCAAACAGCTTTAACAATAGCTTTTAAAACATAAGATTAAATGAGTAATGTGCTTTGGAGCTGCTCTCTCTTATTTTGAATGAACACAATGCCATATATGAAGTCATTTCATACAATACTGTTAATCTGCCTAGGATACTGCATTTAGTTTCCTTTATGAATGAAGAGAAATAATAACAAATCTGATCATTGATTAGTATGTAATTTAATGTGATTTAAGTTCTATTTTACAAACTTAAGAGTGCAAATGGAAGGGTAGAACATATCAGCTTGAAAAACACGCAAGGTTCATCTTCCACTTACTCCTTAGTGTCTATTTAATTTTATTTTGCTCAAATATTTGTAACAGAGAAGTGATCTAATTCATAGTCCCATTCGTTAAATATTTTGTTTTGTGCAAGTAGCTCTTTCAAATATTCATTTGCCTGTTGCTAATTATTATCATTGAAAAAAATTAAAATTTTGTTCCTCAAATCCAAATCTAATTTTACTAAAACAGAACCTATTTGGATTTATATGGGGGAATATGCTTATTTTAAATTTAGAGGGAAATTTTATCTGAATGATAACTGGACATTAATCTTCACAACTTAAAATAAATGTCTTGGAAAACAATTCAGTCAGCCCATATTATCATCACATCAGTACAGCAATCAGAGGTTGTTCAATGGTAGCAATCCAACCAAAGGTTAGAGAACTAATAAATATTTAGGCTAGAGTCAGTGGCTAATTTAAATCACATAAATAGAGGTTCAGATATCCAAATATCCACATTTATTGTGGGCCTTTTAAAACTCAAAATCCAATGATCAGAGCCTTTAAAGAATAAAGACAGATGGGTACATAGATTCTAAGTTTGTAGAAAAATTTTACACAAATGGGGATACAGTATATACAAGATAATTTTCACTTAAAAAATATTTGGAGCTTTTTCTGTATCTGTTTCATTTTTAAAGTAGCTTTTTAGTATTCCACTCTGTAAATATATTTAACCAGTCATCTGATGAATAGTTTGTTTACAATATTTTGCTATAAAATGCCACAATGAGCATATGTTATGTGTGTATCTGTGGGTCTATATGTATTCAAGTATAAAAATATACTTTTAAAGCTAAGAAAAGAATATGTACATTTAAAATTTTGACATTGCCAAATTTCACTTTTGAAGTTGTACTAAATTATATTTCCATCAATAATGAGGTTTCCATTTTCCTACATAATTTTCAACACAATCTAATAGATAAAAACATAATTATAACTTTAATGAGTAGCATTATGTATCTTTTCACATATTAAAATTATTTGTATTTTTAAGTGAAACTGTTCAATGTCATTTATCCATTTTTTTTTTAATATATCTTTATTGATTTCAGAGGAAAGGAAAGGAGAGGGAGAGAGAGAGATAGAAACAACGATGATGAGAGAGTCATTGGTTGAGCCCGCAACCCGGGCATGTGCCCTGACTGGGAATCGAACCCCAATCTCCTGGATCCTAGGTCGACGCTCAACCGCTGAGCCATGCCCGGCAGGGCTATCCATTCCTTTTTAGAGGTATTATATTCATGGAGCTTTTTGTATATCAAGGAAATTAGCCTTAATCTCTGATGTAAGTAAAGATATTTTTTCTTAGTTTGTTGTTTAGACAATTAAAAAAACAAACATGCCAGGGGTTATAAAGAGAAGGTGGATGTGACTATAAAGAGCAACATAAAAACTTGCTATGGTGACAGAACTCCGGTTGTCTCGATTGCAATGATTAGTATACAAATCTATACAAGTGATAAAATGTCCTAATTATGTGTAAAAACATACAAACATGCATGCATGCATGAAAAAATAGTCTGAGTAAGGTCTCTGGTCAGGTTCATTGCAGTGTTCCATTGTGTCCTGGTTTTGATGATATACTGTAGTTATGTTGGAAGAAGCTAGGTAATGGGTACAGAAGACCACTCTGATGTTTCCACTTCTTTTGAGTTTATAATTATTTCAAAATTAGATTTTTTTAAAGCTCAGCAACTCATAAACTATATAAACTAAAAAGAATCCTATCTAGATATATCATAATCAAACTGCAGATAATTAGAGGTAATAAAAACATCTCAGAAATGAATAAAAAAAATGTTTTGAATAGTTGTGCCAGACACTTGTATTAGGTGCTTTTACCTGTGTCTTCTGACCCTCACTATTATTTCAGGTATTATGATCGTCATTTTCAAGATGGGTGTGTTGACTCAGAAACTATATAAAAAGTTGCTAAGTAGTAGTAAGGAATTTAAGCCCAGGTCTACTGTACTGAAGTCCATTTTGTTCATTGAAGCTATTTTGTTTACATACCCAAACATTTTTAATGCACTTTCCTAATTAATCAAGGATATAGTATACATACCGAGTACAAGTACATCCCAGGCTGCTTCAATATAAAGTCAAAGAATGTAATGTTACTCTTTTCTAGGTTATATCATTTCAACTACTAAAATGGAAGAAATTATCCTATTGAAGCTAATTTGCATCAATTAAGGCACATTATGTTACAAACAACAGTAAATGGCTCAGGCTAATTGAGGAAACAAACAAGAATTTATTGAAGGGTTAGTGCCAAGGCTCAGTGACTTAGAGTAGCAGTTGAAACAGCCCGATCTTTCAAAAAAGAGGAATTGAAGCAGGCCCAGCAGTTGAAAAACCTTAATTTGAGCTGCAGACAAAGAATAACTCACCACCTCCCCCACAATCTCTCTTTCTTCTGTTTTACTCTTCCAGGTTATCAGTACAGATTAGTCAAAGATGGATAGGTCTTTACCCCTTGGTTGATGATGAAAGCATTTGGTGAAGTAATGACTTCACTTGTCCAGTCTGAATGACTTGCCCACATATTTGGCCAGAAAATAGCATATTTTCAAAGGAAGAAGTAAAAAAATACTAGTCAGATGAAACCAAAAGCAACTATAATCCGTATCTTAGCGTCTATGAACCTGTGGACACACAGGTGCACATACACTTCTTATACACACATCTCCATGGGAAGGATGGAGCACAAAGTGAATAGTCTCAGGAGAATCTAATATGTATATATACAGGTGCGCAAAATGCCATAGTGCAGCTTTAAGCTCTAATAATTTCAGAGGGGTAAAAGCTACAAATGATAAAGCTCATTTTTTTGTTTGGGCCTCTGAAGATGGCAGAGTTGACAAATATAAAAATTTGTCTTTGAAACATACAAAGTTAAATAAGTGTAAGTGACATGCAAGTAATTAGACATGCATATTGTGTTTTTCAAAAGTTGGTAGCTTTTACCCTTCTAAAGTTTAGGCTTAAACATTCACTATGACATTTTGCACACCTATATATATACATATCAGATTATCTTAAAACCATTCATTTTGTGCACCATCCTTCCCCATGGAAAGGTGTGTATACGAAGTGTTTATGCACCTGTGTGTCCACAAGTTCATAGGAGCTAAGAGGTAGATTATAGTTGTTTTTGGTTTCATCCGTGCAGTACCTTTTCTCTCAATAAGAAGAATCTGTCCTCCAGTGAAATAATTTTGCAGGTGAATATATTAGAGAGATCGGAAAAGGCATATCCTCATTTAAAGTAAAGAATATGGAAAAATGTGCAAAATTCTTCAGCCCATTTTGAGGGAAACGTGGGGGTGGGTGCAGGGGGGGGGTATTGCAATCTGTTCCATCAATATTCCGCAGTGGCCACACCCTTTTGCAGGAACCATGTGTCATGGATGGTATCGTGGGTGTGGTGAAGGTGGACAGCGTGTGAGGCAGTGTCTGGATGGCGTGTCTGCCTTCTCCCCCGGGGAAGCGGTGGGGAGTATTCGAGGGGTTGTCTGCCCAGGTTGGTGGCATGGCTGGCTGCAGAGATGGTGGCGGCAGATCTGCAGCAGGAGGTTGGGGACTAGGTCTGCTCGAAGACAGTGAAGCCTCCTCACTGGAGCCTAACCTGCTTCACTTCCTCTCTTTTAGGGGCTGAAAAAGTCTATTTAGTTGCATGAGGTGGTCTTCATGCCAAACTGTTCTTCCTTCTGGCATCTAAGTGCGGCCTTCTGGATTTTCTTCTTCATTCTCTTCATCAGGCTCTTTGTGCTTTAGACGAGCCATGGCGAGATGGAAAGCGTGGCAGCTGAAGCCCTCATTGACCCCATACTCCACGTGCTCCTGCAGGACATCTAAGCTGGGGAAGACCCGGCAGCAGGCCATGCACCTGAAGCCACGGTCTGGGGCCACCAGCCACTCAGGCACCGTGGCCTTGGGATACACCTCCTGAGACGGGCGCCCTACTAGCCTGTAAAACTTCGGGCTGCTGCTCTGGCCTTGGCTGACTGAACTGGGCTCATCAATTAGCAGATCCGTTGGAGACATGTGAGAGTGGGGGACATTTTTATGGACCTTTTCAACATAGGTCATTTCTTCCATTTTCATTTGTTTTGAGGGAGGCTCCAATCCTTCCTCTGAATCGCTTAAGACAGCCACGCCCCTTTTCATTCGCACACGCATGTAGTAAATTGTCATGAGCCTTAGATTTGTCCCACATACTGAGGACATAAAGGGCTCATTATTCTTAACCAAATGGGAAGACTTATGTGGAAAGGTGAAGGGATTCTCCTTTTGCTTCAATTCCTGTGATACAGGCATCATCTTGATTCCTGAGGGGAAAAATTTCAAACATAGGAAAACTAGAATAGGTGTGTGAAGCCTGTAGGAGTTAAGATGGACTTGCCCTACTTGAGCATGTGAAGTTAAAGTACATCTATATGTGATATTCCTGAATTCGGTGTGTGCTATGCTTTATCTGAGGTGTTTCCACTGTATAACTATGTGGCAATCAGGATAAAATGTTATATGCATGTTCTAGTGCACCTGTATGTATATTCTGGGACATATCTGGGAGTGTTTTCAATGTTGGTAAAAGGAGATGTTGAATGAGTGTGTGCATGTCGGTTATGTGGTTTGAGGGCACATGTGAACAGGGCAGGTGTGGTANAACAGTGCAGGTGTGATATGTGTTCTTACTGTGAGACAGTGAGACTGAGAGTGTTGGAGGAGGTGTGGATGAGCTCTCAGAATGTTCAGATCTATGAACGTCTGAAGGCCTGGTGGTGGAAGGTCATATGGATTAGAGAGACAACAGAGGAAAGTTCATTTCCTTCAGAGCTTGTGACTTGTTTAGAGTTTGCCCTAAAGAGGTTATGTGTGAGAGAGGAAGTGAATGATTTATGGAATTAGTGTGTAAGTGGCTGAGTCTGAAGTGACTGTGTGAAGGAATGAAGGTAAGCCTGTGCCCTAGGTAACGCTACTACAGATAGGATAATAGATGGGGAATGAAGGCCTGTGCATTTGAGAGAACAAGTGAAAAGGAGGAATGGGGCCATGCCACATATGAAGGAGTACNAGGAGGAATGGGGCCATGCCTCATATGAAGGAGTATAATAGGTGTGTGAGTGTGTGAAGAACTGAGTTTGTGCTCATCTGAGGGGGAGGGTTGTGAGTAAACTCCCAAACACACATCAGCACTGTCCAGCACCTCAGCCACGGTGGTCCCAGTGCTGCTGTGTTGGAAATTTGCGCTGAGGGTCCTTGCCTGGACCTTGAAGGCACACCCTCCACTTGTCCCTCTGCAGGAGCCTTAGTACTAGTCCATCTGCCCTCAAGCCCTTTCCTGTTTTTGAGGGGAAAGTGAACTAAACAGAGACTGGGCTAAGCAGCTCAGCTGCATCTCTTGTCAAAGCTCAGATCCCACCTCTGTATATTCCTTACCATCCTCATCAAGACGGGGAAACTTGGAAGGGGAGGAGACACAGGTGAAATATTCAGAAGAGGAAGAGTTTTCTCCTGCTGGGTGACTACAGCCTGGGAGCTCCACTGGTGACTCAGGCTTAGGAGCATCCTCTTGAGTGTTGCAGGGTCCTGGGAAATAAATAAAAAAGAACATTGAGATGAGGCATTTTCTGGGTTCTGTGTCAATTCAAAAACTACACATAGTGTGGACATTATATGTCATGCATCATCACCAAACGTGGCATTTTTTCTCAGAAATTAAGGTGCTTTCCCATTTAAAATTCCATTTATTCCAAACTATAAGTAAATATTGATTGAAATGGTATGTTTGGTGGATGTTAGTGGGATTGAGTATCTTGCATGTGATATTTCAGGGGTTCAATACAGATTATCAAAAACATAAAACTATGCCTGAAATACAGTACGCAGGAAATAAAAGGTAGATATCAACTCAATTTCCTCATGAAATGTTGAACAACTAGGGGATATGTGGTGCAAGTTTTATGAAGCATTCTACATGTATATTTATTTATATTGATATCTAAATTGATTTAGATATATATTATAGATGTAAAATTAATTTTTTCTTTTTTAAGAAATTAACTATTCAATATGTTACTTTCCCTGTTTCAGTGTCAACAGAGCTCACTGCTCATTATTTATTTATTTATTCATTTATTTATTATTATTATTTTAACTGTGAAGATTATCAAATTCCCTCATGAATGTGTGTGGTGTATGCATTATTGACATTTGTAGCAGTATGGTATGGCGAATGTACTCTGCTTGCTGTTTACATTTATAATGTGTTGGTTAAAACTGGTTTAAGGTTAAATGTGTGATTGCTTTGGTGTTTGAGAATCTGAATATGGGATGAGTTTTGTGTAACTGAGGATGGTATGTGTGCTTTGTGTCTGTGTGTTAATTCAGCACAGAGTTATGTGTGTAGATTACATTTCCTATAATGATGGATTTCTGTGTGTTTTATATACTATGTGATTTAGATATGGGATGCTGTTACTGAGAATATTCTCTCTGAGACTAGTGGAATTAGAGTATTTGCAAAATGTGAGGGGAGAATTAAAGAATGTGAGGATGTGAAAATGAAAGAGTATAAGAGAAAGAATATTTGGGCTTTGAAAAAAATGGCAGAGTGCAGAGAAGAGTGTGGAAGATTAGGTGAGTAGTACATGTGCTTGCATTACAAAGTAAAAGCATGGCCTGGCTGGTGTGGTTCAGCATTTGAGCGTCAACCCAGGAACCAAGATGTCATGATTGGATTCCTCAGCAGGGCACATGTCCAGGTTGCAGGCTCGATCCCCATCAGGGAGTATGCAGGGGGCAGCAGATCAATGACTCTCTCATCATTGATGTTTCTATCTCTCTCCCTCTCCCTCTCCCTCTCCCTCTCCCTCTCCCTCTCCCTC